CTGACTTGGCCTTGCTGATGGACACGTTTGACACCCCTACGTACAAGGCAGAAAGGCTGAAATCTGGGCTTCCCACTTACTGGCTCAGTACCAGGTAAAGAGTTAATTTATACCTGAAGCCAGGTTTTAAAGATAAGTTTCTTGCAAAAACTGCAACATCTCCCTGCAACAGCGACTGAGCAAATGGTGACTTTACGTGGAACTTCAAACAGAACTGACGTAATAGACTTAATGACTGGTCACAAGTGATGGATCAGGCTCTCATGGCAAGAACACAGATATTACTCCGTCTAATAGTAACCAGTCCTGGGACTCTCTGGAACAAAATCCTCTGAAACATAACTTCAACTAGAGCTTCTTTTATGACAGCGGGTGTTTTGAAATTTGTGCCTTCTGCATTTTACCCACAGTTACATCTAAATGGTGAGGCTTTCAAGGAGAAATTGCTCTCCTTGGTACCTTTGAGTATTCTAGCAGGGCAGTTGAAGGTATCAGTTAATATTCTCTACTAAAATAAAGGGTGCTATTTGCCATCTCAAGAATGAGGGGAAGATAAAATAAATTACGTATTTTTAAATGACATATTTGAACTTTTCCCTTCACAGAATTCACCTAAACTCTTCTGCCCAAAGGACAGAGTCCTGGATATTGAAGCTATATACAGTGTTATCGATGATGCAAAACAGTTTGTATACATAGCTGTCATGGACTACCTGCCCATCGTCATTGACACCAACGCTAAACGGTGAGTCTCCATGTCCAGGACTAGCACGTTATCATAATGTCAGTAAGATCTGCTGGAGAAAATGAACCCACAGGAGATTAGTTACTACTGTGGACCAATTTCTTGGGGCCCAATTCTGCTCTTATTGAAATCAGTGAGAGTTCTGCCATTGACTTAAATGGGAGCAGAATTGGGACCTAAGAAGACATTTCAAGTTCTGGGTCCTAAGCTTTGGATCTGCTTATCGAAGGAGATCAGAAATTGTCTAGTCTGACCATCTGCAAGTGACTGGGACCCAGGAATACAAGAATCTGCTTATACATTAATCCTATTTCTTACACTGTTGTATTCACTACCTTGATACCACAGCTACTGGCACTTTATGAGTATCATATAGATATTCAACATAAGAGAGAGTACGTGTGTGTGTGTGAAGGGAGAAATAACATGTTCTGAGTTCTTGTATACAAGGTAGAAGATGTCATCTTTTTATTGAAATATACATATACATGAAAATTCCAAATTCAGCAAAGATTACATTAGCGTTATATCACATTTTGGTTGACTGAGAATTGCTAAAAACAAACAAAACCAAGTAATATTTAAACACACTGTTTGTATGGACCATTAAAAAGCACTCATGACCCAAAACTGGAGCCACAGTGCCATAAAACCATCCAACTCAGAAGGCAAGTATCCAGTGGTCCCTCCTACTCCTGATAATACTCACAATGAATGGAGCATCTAGTAAGGCTTGCCATGCTGTCCATGCACTTTATTTGAACACAGTTAAGCCAACCTAAACATGTGGTTATGTGCTTTATTTCCAGTTTTGCATAATTATAGATGTTTTGTTCAATTTTTTCAAAAAATAACTATCATTTCACTGATGTCAAGCATAAGCTGTTTCAAGTCTACAAGAGGGTTTTTCTGATAAACTCATTATGTACAGCCTCTATGGCAGTGAAAGAATCATGGGTAGTGCTGTAGGAACATTTCTCCTTTATTTTGGAAAGAATCTTAGCATGTAGAACCATTACAGTGTTGCAGTTGATGTTATCTCCTATACTCCTCCTTACTTTCTTCTCATGCTTAAAGAATTCAGAAATCTATTAGATTAGGGAAATCCAGGGAAGCCACCACCTATGTGACTTCTTCGACATTTTTCCTCGAGCATGGCTTTGTGTTTGAGGCACTGCTACAGCTTCCCTACCTTGTCAGCTGCCAGTTTTCACTTGTAAGATATTTTCTGGCACTGTAGAGCTCAGACTATTATATTATATTAGGCCAAACGCCTTGATGCTGCTGGAGTACAGAAAACATGCATTTTCTTTGTCCAATGCTCCCTGCCCTGCCCTGTTCCTACCAAAGGTCAGGAACACAGAGCCTAACCAGCAATTGTGAGAATAGCACCATGGAAGCCTCTATCCCATTCATGGCAGGACTTCTGCAGTCCTTATCAGGAAAAAAGGTAGCATCCTCCTTAAACAACCCATCTTCATCTGCTAATGAAGGGTGCAGGCACCCTGCACAGCAGTAGCTCTCCTTTTCCCAAGCAAGAAATTACAGAAGGCATTCCAGTCCCAGGCTGTACGATCCCAGTACAGAGGAAAGGAAGGATGGCAGTCAGGGAGGGATCTGGTGTTCCTGTTTCCTTACTTGTGTAACCAGTGAAAATCCTTCTTGTCCCTCCCTCCGGGCTGGGTAAGCAGCACCCTCTAGCTGTAGCTCATTGTGCCGGTTTTCTGGGACCACACCACAGGCAGTGAGTGACACAGGAGTAACTCTCCCAGCTACGGGCAGACGAGGTACCTGTATTTCGTGCAAGCGTTTTGGCAACTCTCCATGCACCTACACAGATGGAAGATGTGCTTAACCATCCACACCTCACTGTCCCCACAGTGACAGTTTTGGTGCAGGGCAGAATGACACAAAAAAGGATGCTGGCAAATCTGTTTAGTGAGAACCCCTTTAAATGAGAACAGCATTCCTTCAACAGATAGAAAATTAAATTTGCATGTGTTTTGTTTTCTCTATGATGTCTAGACCTGGCTGCATAAAAATCCGGGTTTTTTTGTTTGTTTGTTTAAGTTCTCTGAATATATTGTATTCTTTCTCCACAGGTACTGGCCATATTTAGATGGGAAGATAAGAGAAGCGTTAGTTTTACGAAGTATTAAAGTACGACTTCTCATAAGTTTCTCAAGAGACACAGATCCCCTTACTTTTAACTTTGTTTCATCTCTGAAAGCTATTTGCACTGAAGTTCCAAGCTGTAGTCTGAAAGTTGTAAGTATAATCCATATTGCTTTGAAATCTGAGATATTGCCCACCACTCAAAGAAAAAAAATCAAGAAAACTTCACAACTGAGAAGTCTTTTCTGTCAGTATCAAAGCCTTTGAATTTCATTAAATAACACAGGAAATGTAATATAATGAACTGAATTTATTCCTAGTAGTAACAGATGTAGAAATTAAGACAGAACAATAGAATGATGTGAAAAGGTAGTCTGTATGGTGGACAGCACGTGTAAAACACCACATCTGGTCTTTCACAGCAAAGCCAACAGTGAACCACAGTCATATGTCTTGCTTATACTGCCTGATAAGAGTAAATGTGACTGCACAAAAATGTGTTTTAGTCTGGATTCATGTAAGCTCACTGTTCAGCTGCGTAAGCATCTTCTTTGCCCTTAGTCCAGTACAAAGTACAAGAAAAAATAATGAAGATTTTAGATTAAGTTCAGGCTACAAATTTAGAATTGTGAAGACTAGAACAACCATTATCTGACCTCATTAGACACGCAATACAGGAAAGTGCAAAATACTGCATATGTTACATTTGTATTAGAGAGCAGAGTGTATGGTAAGTACTACTTCCAGTTTGATACAGTTCATTTTTATGAAATTGAAGCACACTGGAAATCAGCCATCTTGGATCAGTTCGTCTTGGATCAATTTCTTTTTTTCTTTTTTTTTTCCCCAGATAACTCTCTTAAATAATATGCTGAATTATTTTAACTTCTTAAATTGATAATCTGCTAAATAATTTTGGCTTTTTAAAATGGACAATTGTAAAAAACAAGTACTATTTGTGATATACACACTAAGTGGTATTTATGCATATCTAGAAACAGGGATTTTTGTTATAATGTACAATGTTATTACAAGTTTCCTAGGTAAGAGCAGCATAAAATGTGTTTTTAACTCAAAAAGCTCATACATGGCTGACACTGCTTAAGCCACTTCAATTTCAAATAACTTCTAGCTTGTTCTGTATTTATCATCAAAATTCTATTTATGTATTCTAAATTATTTTTTAAGTGGCACCTAATGCTCTACATACCCATATCCATTTCCATCTATTTACAGCAGGTAAAATCATTAGTACAGAATTTATCTTGTCAAGAACTAAATGCTAAAAGGAAAAAAAAATTCTAGACCTCTATTCTAGGTATATAGTCTAGCTAGAATATCTGCAGTTAGAAACTGCATATATGACTTCCAGTAAATATTAGATTGCCCTGGATTTAAATAGTTGTAAACATACAACACACCTCACTTACCTCTGTGCTGTGCTTCAGGTGTTCCACACGCTGGGTCAGTCGCTGCCTTAAATCAGCCTTGGTTTGAGTAACACCCTGAGGCTCAGACTTTACTGGTATCGATTTGATTTTGGCTGAAACTGTGCCACAGACTTCATCACGAAGCACTCTTTTACTTCACAAAACATGTCAGAGAAGCAATTTTTTTAAAAACTGCATTTCTTTTGTATTCATCTGTTCCAGCCAGGATCAAAGTGAAACAAAACTGTGTGTGTATTGGGGAGAAGGAATAGCTAACAAGGTAAAAACTAAACTTAAACCATTTGAATTATTAGAAAAATTTGCTTTTCCTTTTGGTTCTGCTTTAGGTATGAGAAAATATAAAGTCAAACCAAAATCTATGCTGAAACTGCTGTCATGCAGACATGTGTTGTATGTGTTTATATACAAGAGCAATGAAAGTTTAAGAGAACCTTAAGTTACAGTTTCTGATTGAAATTATACTTAAAATTGCTAAGCTGGCCCAATACTACAATACTGTTCTGACAGAAATGGCACCCTCCCCCCCCTCCGTTTCTCTTCTCTTAGGGATAATATATGAGTCCTACACAGTAACTTTTTTCTTCCATTTACCTTTTGATCCCTGTGATATGCCGTGTTGTGATTATTTTATTTTTTTTTCTGCTATGCCCAAGGAGAGACCAGTTTGGCTAGGAAGTTTCCGGGGAGTGCCCGTGGCTGGCTGCAGCAGCAGGGTACACTGTTTTGCCAATGGCAGCAGCCTGAGGCACACGGTTATCTCAGAGAAGGCTGTGCAGATGTAATTCCTCTGTTAGATGGGAATCTTGTCCTGGTTGCCCGTGGTCTTTGACCAGGCTAATGGAAGTTTTGGTATTGCCTAACTGCAAGTATGTAGTTAGGAAGAGGGCACTGCAAACCTGTTAGGCCCAGCAGTGTCCTGATCAAAACCAGCTGCCAACAGCTGTGCATGTAATTTTTCAGTCTGCTATTGAGGTCAGAAAGGCAGGGACTGCACGACCTGCACGATTTTCTAGTTGCGAACGCTGAATTTTAACAGTCTATTCTACGTATAAGCAGGATTTTTTTTCTCTTTTGCCACAAAACTTCGACAATACTGGGCAATTAACATCATCAACGCAGTTAGAAAATGGTTAGTCCCTTATTATGCATTCCTCAGCATCTCACTTGGAGTACAGTTCACATAAGCATTAATAATTTTTGGATTCAAGTGATTTGAGAGTGCAAACTCCATACAAGTACCCTGAAAAAAGGATCGTTGGGAAGGACTCATAAGGAAAAAGCTTTGTTTGAGGACTAAATAAAAGCTATAAGAACACAGCCGAATGTCAAGGAGTAAACCGCATACCAAACTGCTGCTCGTTCAGGGAGCTCTGTCCTATGCACGGAACCACATGTGGTCATGAAATTAAAGCTTGAATCATAAAGGGTGTAAACTCAAGGTGAAGAGCTCACCACTGTGCCTCTTGGGACTGTAATTCCAGTAACTCCTTAAGTTTTGTGTGCTTGAATCTGTAAATATGTCTTATGTGCAAGGATGCTCAGTCTCACTCTCGAAAGAGCAGTAAAAAGCAGCCAGCTCTGCTGGGTACAGTGCTGAACAGAGAATGTTACTGAAAGGCCCACAAAAAGTATGAACTAGGACAACTTTACACAGCTGGAGACCAGGAATGTGTGACATGGACCAGACATACATATCTACAGCACAAATGGTTCTTGAGCCTCCACATGAATCTATTTCTGAGCTGTGCAGGTGTATTCCTAAGGTAAGAGGAAGGAAAAATTGAATGTTTCATTAATTCTCAGAAAGCCAAAAATGCCTTATGAGTAAACGAAGTGTTATGAATTAACTATGAAACCTTTGCTCCTAAGCACTAATTTAATTTTAAAGCTCTAAACTCCTAAAATAAGGATGGAAAACATGAATGAAATGTCAGCAGAAGGTGGTGTATTATTAACAGAGTACTTCTGCTGAAGGCGGTGTTGGAGAATGTTAGGCTGTGCTACTTAATGACAGCGCTGGTTCACTTGCTCATCAACCATACGTTTGTGTATTCCGTTTGCGAGGGCAGATGGGTTTCCCTATTGGTAGCTGTATTGTCAAGGAGTTAATGGCTTCTCTGCTGTTGCTGGACAACACATTGCGTTTTCAAGCCTTTTATCTTTTCCTGCCTGAATCTGAAATTTTCTCTCTTACAAAGTTATTATACACACAGAACACCACTAACATATTCTGTCTCAGTTCAGCATATCTGCTGAATCTATCTCAATTTGACAACTCTAAGCTTATATGATTACTATGCTTGACTATTTTTACATGTAGGTATGTAAATTTTTGCTAAATCTTGTAACACTAAGAAGAAGACAGCTTGTTATGTTTTGTTTCCTAGCGTTGGAAAGCGAAGGAGCCAGGTTGGATGGGGCTTTGAGCAATCTGATCTACTGGAAGGTGTCCCTGCCCATGGCAGGGGGTTGGAACTAGATGATCTTTAAAGTCCCTTCCAACCCAAACCATTCTGTGATTCCTGGTAATCAGTAGCAACACATTTTGTGCAAACCTAAAGTTTGAAACCTACCTATATCATCAGCTGGGTAAAGAATGCTTTATAAAACCAATTGCTTTATAAAACCAACTGCCTGTGTGCCATGCGTATACCCTTGTTTGATTTAATCAAACTACTGATGTAGTCCACCACAGAGATCACTACGTTTCAAGAACAAATTTGGTATGCTACAGGCTTTTCAAAGTAGTAAGACTATTCTGAAGGACATCTCCATAACCTAAAAGGATTCGTTCAAGGTTTGTATCAAAAAGAGCCCTGATTCAAGAGATGAATTTTGCATTGTGAAGAACAGACCCCCAAAGAATGATCAAGGAGTTTGGGGGGTGAGGGTTTTTAATACTGTTTTTCAACATCTTAAGTGGGTGCAATGTATAGCCAGTTACTTTCACCAGTAATATATTGTGAATTAGGTTTGTTCTGAGGATCTACACCATCACCTCAATTAAAGCTTCCCAGTCATGCAGTAAATATTTAATTTCTCCTTCATCATGTTATTCTCTACTTCTGATTTTAGAATCTGTGTCTAGCTATTAGTTTCCTTGATGAAACAAACAATACTTAAGAGTTGTACTGGAAATCTCATTTTTTGTCTGACACTGATACAGACAAGGAGTGCGTATAGCTCAAAAAAAATAATAAAATAAAAAAATCTAACTCAGACTTCACCGTTTAGGGTAAGACAGATGCATTTTCCTCTTGTTCTCTGGTAAATTTGGTATATCCATATCAGATTTAATCCTGAGAAGTTTCTGAAATCAGCAAGTTACCTGTTGGCAACTATGCAATGTGTAATATAAAGCTATTAATTCAGTGTTGGTGTGCCTGCCAATCCAGATCCTGAAGCAGACTTCAAACCCCAGTATCCCTTGAAGAATAAGGAAACGAGCTACAGAAAAGTTCCTGGCTCTTATCATGCAGAACACAAATATGGGGGGTTTGTTCATTTCATAGCCTTTATTACCTGGCACTGTATTGCTTTTAGTATGCGGTAGCCATATATTTGTATAGTTCAGAATGCCAAGGCATAGTGAGTATAACAACCTAGGAGAATTTAGAAAGAAATACAGTGTGTAGTGTTTCATTAAAATTAATGCTTGCCTACAAAAACTCAAGCTGTTCTGTAGCTCTAACTCATTTTCACTAAAGAGTAGAGAACAGACCATATTTTTTCTGTCTGTTATAGAACAGTTCTCATTAACCTCCACTCCATTCTGTTTTATGGCAGAAATTCTTTGACCTTGAGGAAGAGAGTGCATGCTTTCTTAAAGAACAGAAGAACACTTCCTTTCCTAAATTAAATCGTAACAAATATATGGTGACTGATGGAGCTGCATACATTGGTAAGTAACCACATCTCAAGAAATTCTAGATTGTAGCCAAAAGCCTGAAATAACACCCATTTGTAAATGAGGAATCTACAGCTGATATGCTTGTTAAGTTAAAATAATAGTCTTATTTTTTTGGAAACCTGGATGAAGACCGAGCTTTGAGCTCTTTCTCATTTAAAAACTTCTTTTTTCCCCATGAATCAGTTTCTCAAAAGCAACGTTCTGCATTCAGTATTTAAAAACAGACTGAAAACACAAATACAACACACTTTATGAAGAAGGAAAAAATTGGATTATTAACATATTCTCTTGTTCCTGCAATCCAGTGAAGATGGACTGTTCTCCGTTTCCCATGTTATTACTAAAGCTATAGTGAATCCTGGTAAATACTGTACAAATGCCTTTCAACCTCATCTTCTGAAGTCTTATTCCATTTACTGTGATGACATTTCAGACAACCTCCTTTTATTAACGTTAGGTACGTCTCTAATTGGTATTTTGGGTTAAAGGTGTATTTAAGTAAAGTCACTGTATGGCACCCAGCAAAAGCTCATTATCAGTCAAATGCCCATTGAATGCAGGCTAAAATCTACCTTTTAAAAATATCTGTCTGCTTAAGCTGTGCATGAGCTGCAGGATCAGAGAACTGCTATTGAATAAAATAGTAACTTATGAGATTTTATAAAGTCAAGAGAGAGAACATGCATTCTAATATGCTGCAGCTTGATACTTCAGTTGCCTACTTCCTCACCCTGACTTCTGCAAAGGGCTTAAAGCCAGTGGTCGCAGAGGCAGTGAGGGAGGGCAACGGCTGCAACCCAGAAGCATGCCCATGCACACATGAAGAATGGAGAATCCCAAGTAGTACAGAGATACAACTGAAAGCGACTCCTAAAAGCTCACCTTGATGGGCTCTGAACACACATACACACACCCTCCCCCCCACATACACATTCCCCTCTCAAGCTAATCAAATCTTATTTTTTTCACTTCAAATAATGCAGCATATCCCACTCTCATCTCCCAAATGTTTTGTGAACCCCCCCAATTCCTTTTATTTTTACTCCTTTTTAAATTCCTGTCACTAGCCAGATCAAATTTTGGTAACTTATACCTTGTTTACACAACATGGATTCTTAGCTGAGTTGGGTTTTTTTTTCCCATTGTCCTTACATCCTTAGATATCTATAAATAAAAGAAAGAAATAATCAGAGATGCATGAAAGTAATACAAATGCATGTTAAGGACATGATACATCTTCTGCTTGAAAGCATAGAAAGAAATGTCTCTTATGATGAAGCTTCAATTTAC